GGAATTTTGCTGAAGGGAATCAAGACAGATTGAATCATGTAAGATAGTGAGGGGTAGCATGTTAGAAAATGACAAAAAAGCACAAATAAATCAACACATGCAAGGTGTAAGACTATTAGCGTCCTCCCCCTGATGGAGATAGATTCTAATTACAAACAGAAGTCAGTTGATTGTGTGCAGATTTTATTTATGATCAGATCTGATTAGACAAATGATGACAAATGAGAAATGCTTGTAAATTGCCCAGTGATAAGCTCTGTGTTGCCAGGTAACAAACCAACATGATTCTCAGTAGAACCAAAGAGAAGAGAGAAATTGAAAGAACAGAGTATTTCCTGGATCTCTACCCACCCCACCCCCCCTTTGTTAAGGAACTTATGCAGCATGCCTATGTTTTTAGAACTTCCATTCGAGTTCTCACATGCCATTCAAAGTGAAATACCAGCTTAGTTTTAGTTCTATAATGTGAACTTTCTCCAAAGAACCTAGGTTGAGTGAACTGGAAATGAGCAGGCTTAGAAACAACATAAGAGCTGCCTTCAAATATATTAAATCAATTCATCAAAGGTTCATTCACATTCTCCTATGTGGAGGGCATTGTTCTAGACATGGTAGAGTGTAGCAGAAGGTATACCTCATAATAGCTATTCTTGTGATATTTGGGGACTGGGGCACGTAAACAATGACATGACAATGAAAGAGGTGTGAGCTATGTTGCAGACCAGTCAGAGGTTGGATATGGAGAAATGATGGAATGAAATACCAATATTCAGCTCCCAGCAGAGGAGGCTTTGGAAGAAGGCTAGACCCAAGACAACATTCAAATGTAGAGGCATCTCCTGTGGATAATGAAGGAGCTTAGTTCTCTATACCTCCATGGAAAGCACCACTGTCAGTGAGTGAAAACATCAAGGAGGTTATCTCAGTTCCAGGGGAAGGGACTTGCAACTAGAGATTTCCAAGAGTAGGCTCTCTCGTAAGGTTAGGTAGGTCTTCAACCCAGTAGTGACTGACTGTGAACAAGAGCTGATTTCGCTGACTGACTCAGTTTCATGGAGTGTGGTGGGTAATGAGGAAAATCTTGTGGTTTACATTTCCCAACGTACATCGTGCAGAATGCTAGGATTGTGGGACGCTCTGTGACAAAAGGAAGAAAGCCTTGCTGTTTTCAGAGGATGTTCTTCATGCCTTGCAGAAATTGTGCTCTGTGGGTGGTATTTTGGGAAAAGTTGCTTTGTTGTATGGGAGGTTGGAGTAATAACTAAGAGTTCCAAGGTGCATGTGCCTTCTCACTTCTCAGACCACAGTAATGGCATTCTCTTTCCTCAGTTCCACTGTTTTCTAACAAGGTTACTGGGAACTCATGCTCAGAAGGGGGATACCAAGAGTATGGGATTAGGAAGCTGTGAAAGAAATGTCTGAACTCTCAGAGAAATCATATTTTAAATGAAAGCAAACAATAAGGCTAAAACAGTGCTCTAGATGGTGGTCTCCCTACATGTGGAACACCACTTCCCAGGTCTAAAACACCCATTGTTTCTATCCTGGTCATTGCCATTGCGATAAATGGTACCATCATCATATCTCACCAAAATAAATATATTAGGTTCCCAGTTGGTCTCTTTATTTCTACCCTTACCTCTTTAATCCACTATACACACAGCAGGAAAAACATTTTTAAATGTTTATTTATTTATTTTGAGGGGGAGTGGGGAGAGAGCGAGCTGGGGAAAGGCAGAGAGAGAGGGAGGGAAAGAATCCCAAGCAGCCCCTGTGCTGTCAGCACAGAGCCTACTGCGGGGCTCGATCCCACGAAGCGTGAGATCATGACCTGAGCCAAAGTCAGGAGTCAGATGCTTAAATATATGAGTCACTCAGGAGCCCCCAAAATAATTTTTAAAATATAAATCCATATTGCCAACCCTCTGCTTAACGGCCTTCAATGCCTTCCCATTGCTCCTTGTATTAGTATTCCTACAATAATGTTTCGTAACAAACCACTAAACCACTGAAGTTCAATGATTTGGAACATGCACTTAGAATAACATTCAAACACTTTACCATGGTCTCAAGGCCCCAAACGATTTGGCCCTTGAGTACTTACCCACTGTTGTCCAGTGCTACTTTTTGCCTTTCCTACTATATCCCAGACACACTCATGTTTCTTGTCACACACTCCAGGCCCTAAAACCTCAAATTAGCTTTTCCCTGTGTATAGATTGAATGCTCTTCCCCAGTCCAGATCTATAGACAGCTGCTTCGCGCTGTCTTTCCACTTAAATGTTATTGCCATGGAAAGGACTGACCCTCAACCTAGGAAGCCTCCCTTGCCACCCCATCTATTCCTTATTTCCTCCATCTGTTTTTTTTCCTTTTTTTTTTTTTCAAAGCATTTATCTCTGCCCAATACATTGTTGTTTATGCATTTGTTGGTTGGATAATTTACTGCTTTCTGCACTAGAAAGTAAGTTCCATAAGATAAGGCACCTAGTTTGCCTTGTTCAATTTTGCATTGTTAGGATCTACAATAATGATTGTCACCTGGTTTTGAATGAGTAAGAATATGTAAACACAGAAATATCCCCAGGAAATATCTTCCCAAACAGAATAAATAAGTTCTCTATATGGCAACATTTCTGTCCCTTTCCTTTTTTTTTCTGTTTATTTACACAAATAATACATTATCCTACAATACATTGTCAGGGGGTAAAAAGAAGGATAAGAGCATGCAAAATCAATGTTAAATCACCAGAAATCACCATGGAGAGAATTTGTGTATATCCTTCCAAGCTTTTTTCTGTGCAAATATGTGCATATGCAATTATTTTTATGCCCATCCTGCTTTTACTTGCTATTTGTCATCTTTTCATGTCAGTAATCACGGTTCTGCATCGTTTTCTATTGGATGTGTATGATTTCTTACACAGCCGGGCATGAATATCCTCGTGCTTAAAGCTTTGCACACACGTCTAATTAGTTCCTTAGGATACATTTGAGAAGCAGAATTGCAGGGTCAAAAGGAATTTTGACTTTTCCAAGACTTTTGAAACACATAGCCTAATGATCAAGTCATACGAATTTACACTGCCTACCAGCAGTGTATGGGAATGCTGTGGCTACCTGATTTAACATCCCATTGGGTACTTCTAGTCTAATTCAATGAAAAAAGAAGTTAGCATTTTCAGTGTTCCTGACATTAGATGTACCCTGAAGGCCGACAGAGCCTTGCGATGCACTTTGGAAAGGGTTTCTCCAGGTCAAAGAATCTTCCATGGATCCCAAAAGAGTCCTCAGAATTCTAGGTCCTCATGAACATGGGTGGCAAAAACACTGCAGCTTTATTTTCACTAAGCCCTATTGTAAATGAGATTTCCTTCATTGCAAATATATACAACAGACCATAATAGTATTGGCAGCACCTGAGACTTTGTCACCAATAGAAACCATAGATATTTTTCATATCTTATTGTAGTTACTATATCTCAATATTTTTTCTCCTTGCTACTTTGAAATTATGGTACTTATAGACATCCTGCCATATCTTGTCATTTAATGCATCAGCGTAGGAGCACATACATTCCTATTTTCAAATGTATCATCCTTAATATTTTAAATCTATTTTTCAATATATCTGATTTCCAGTGTAATCATATGCATTTTAATTTAGGTCTTAAAAACATTCTGAGAATGAGCCCATAGACTTCATTATCTTGCCACAGGGATCCACGACACAGGAATAGTTTAAGGACACGGACAGGTGAATGGGGTTGGTGTTGGTTAGCTTGGAGACATGGACTACAGCCACATCTAGGGCTGTCTGGATGGAGCTGGGACAGGTAATTTGCTTGGACTCAGTAGGTAATTCTGCTAGAGACCAGCAGAACCAGCAGACAAGAGTCAGAGAAGGACTGCAAAGCTGCAGGAAGGAGTCTGGTGAGCCTCTAGGCAGGTTGATCCAGAAGCGAAATTCTGTCAGCAAATGTCTTTTGGTGGGCCTCCATACATTTTTTTTTAATATGAATTTGAGGGGGTGCATGGGTGGCTCAGGTGTTTAAGCATCTGACTCTTGATTTCAGCTCACGGGGTTCGTGAGTTTGAGCCCTGCGTGGGCTTCTGTGCTGACAGCGGGCAGCCTGCTTGGGACTATCTCCCTCTCTCTCTGCTCCTCCCTCTCCTTCTCTTTCTCTCAAAAGTAAACTTTTAAAAAGTATGAATTTGAGGGGCACCTGGGTGGCTCAGTAGGTTGCGTGTCCGACTTTGGCTCAGGTCATGATATCACTGTTTGTTTGTGGGTTCGAGCCCCGCATCAGGCTCTGTGCTGACCGCTTGCTCACAGCCTGGAGCCTGCTTCAGATTCTGTGTCTCCTTCTCTCTCTGCCCCTCCCCCTCTCACGCTTTGTCTCACTCTGTTTCTCAAAACTAAATAAATGTAAAAAAAAATTTTTAAAAAGGATGAATTTGAATACCATCAAATAGGGACAGTACTCTCTATTTCTTCACGGTGCCTAATACTTCCTTTCATTTTCTGAGTCTCCTTCATTCATTTTTGCAATGCCATGCTCCTTTAAGCATTTGAGGGTTGTAACTTTGAGGAAATTGGTAAGATAATTTGTTGGAAAATTCAGTGAGGGTCACTATGGTGAGGGGCCTGTGTACTTGTTGTGGCCCCTACTGGATTAAAAGTTCCATGAGGAGAGTAATTCTGCCTGTACTGTAAATTTTTGTGGCACCAGAGTCTTGCACACCAAAAGTACTCCATAAATGTTTGTCAACAGCCTAGAGGGCCCAGGCCAAATCTGCCATCTCCACAATGACAGGAATACCCAGTGCCTGGAATACTGAGGTCTCCGCCATAGGAGGAAGGGCAAGGACCCCAGAGTCCCGGAAAAGGGTCAAAACTGAGCCTTCTCTGCCAGAAAATGAAAAGGCTGAGTGGGAAAGTTTTAGGTCAAAGTCGTTTAAGGAAAGAAACCAATGTAAAGCAGAATCAACCACACATCTGTCTTACTTCTGTGTCTTTAATTTCCCCACTTGAAAATATTGGTCCCAGAGCCTGGGGCAAGATTGAGCTTGCCAGTGGGGCTAAGAGCAGAGATAAATGAACCAGGTAGCAGTTATGGTGCCATTCAGAGAGACCTTGCCTGGCTAGTGTCTGCCATGTTGAAGCACGGTGTAACTATCTGTATCTGCTGAAGAAAGGAATCAGCTGGGTTACACAGTGTCTTGCCACTGTTTCTTTATGTGGTCTTCTGCTTTATCTGGGATCGCAAAAATCAAATGTCCACAGAGACTAGTCAGGGCACGTGGTGTTGACTATGACAAATGGTCCTTGCTTGGTCTGAAAGGGGGCAGCAACCACTTCTCGCCAATAGATGTCATGAGGATATATGGGTCTAGAAAAAAACATCAACAACAACAACAACAACAACCTGATTTTTCACAATAAAATGTAATTTTTTAAAAATGTTAAATCTCCCTACTTTTTAAAAAATTAATTAATTTATTTTTGAGAGAGAGACAGGTGAGCAGGGGGAGAGCAGAGAGAGAGGAAGAGAGAAGGAATCCCAAGCAGGCTCTGCGCTGTCAGCACAGAGCCTGATGTGGGGCTCAAACTCATGGAACCGGGGGACATCAAGACCTGAGCTGAAACCAAGAGTCCGATGCTTAACTGACTGAGCCACCCAGGTGCCCGTAAATCTCCCTACTTTAAAATGCTGATAGATAATTTGATTAAGAAAAAAAAAGAAGCAAAAAAAAAAAAATGTATACACAGAAACCATCATTGGCCGAAAAACTGACTTCAATACATTGTATATACATATTCACAGCCATCACATTTTGATATTTGCCCAAATATAGGATGAGGTGAGTAAGGCATTCCCTTTGGGTGTAAAATTTAAAGTGGTACCAAAAAACTCAGCAATCAAGATGAATGGTATTCTAAAATAATGTGTTCAAAAATGGCTCATGCTAAGCCATATTCTAAAGCCTGAGCACAAAGGATAAATCAGTAATATTGATCCTGTCTTCATTTAAAACTAATTTTTTGTTTACCATGGAGTATTGGCATTACTTTCAATTTAAAAAAAATATTGCATTAAAATGTTATTTATCTTCATTGCTGAGGTTTTAAAATTTTTAGCCAAGTGCCATACCCGTCTCCCCTTTTCCATTCATATCCTACCCCTAAAAAATAAGATGTTTGGGGCAGATCAGTGGTTCTTAAAGCTCTGTAAACCTAAATGACCTGGGAACTTTATCACATGACAAGTTCCTGTGTCTGGCTCCTAGTGAGTCTGGGTCCTTAGGCCTGAGTAGTTCTGGGGAAACTTATTTATCCAAAGGGACCCCTGATAATTGGTTCTGTTTGGAAATCACAGAGGTAGAGGATTTTTAGGCCCCTTCTAGTTCTAATACCACAAGATTTTACCTTATGTGCTTTTACTGCAAATACCCCTGGGATTAGGGTCAGTTAAATCAGTGACATTTTTATGTGCATTAATTTAGCAGCTTGTTTTTCTTTGGAGGGAAAGGACCCTGGAGCTTAGGACCTGGACCTGGGGCAGGGAGCCGATGGGAAGACGCGAGTGCTCAAAAAGACGCCGTCCCTTCGAAAAGGTTTCACTGAATCTAGGGGACCAGGAAAGCCCCCTTGGTTCAACTATGAACAACAGGAAATTGCTTTTAATCAATCTCAAAGTAACTGAAAGTGAATGCCAGAGCATCCTCTCTTTGAAGAGATGTCAGGAACACTTTCAATCTTTTATCTTCC